CTCCGGTCTTCTTGACTCTGTCTTGAGGTTGGGCACAGGTGCGTGGGGGAAGACAGAGTGCGGTGGATGCCGCGCAAGTCTACCATCACTTAAAACTAACTCACGCGCAAGTTACCGTCCCTGCACCACGCTGTTTGGGGTATATGGTGGACATAATTAAAATCGGTAGTCAAACGGTCGTGTCGACTTTTTAGAAAGAGAATCAGTCCGTACAGGCTTCGCTGCTACATTGTTGACCCAACATATGGAAATCAGATATTCGTGTCCATGAGTTAGGATGCTGTTCGATGATCAACTGGCTCATGTCGCAACGCTAGACACGCCAAGGCCTACATTCTGGGCAACACTGACTGACTGCGACAACTGCTATTCCATCGTCCCGGTCTTTGTCTGTTCCTCGGTTGGTTCTTCTTACGTTGCCGCTCCGTTATGACTAGCAATACTGCTCGCTGCTACGGCCAACTTTTTTCAACTTTTTCTTGCTGCAAGTTTAGGAGATCACTATTCGCTTAAATATGCACCGACTGAGAGACATTATGAATTCGACCAGCCTTTTCGCTAGAAAAACTGTAGTCCCCAAATGAGCACCTGCGTCTTTTGCCCTCCTTACAGTTACTTAAAAATCTTCCAAGATCTTAAAAGAAAGCGTCGAGGTCTTGAACGGATAAATATGTGCAAAAGAGTAAGTTCTTACATAGGGAAAAAGGTGCCAAGATGGGGGCCCTTATTGTCAACACAAAAGGCAAAAATTAATATGAGACAGTTGGACGCTCCGAGGCCATTATTTAGTCCCGATAGCTTTTTGTGGGTTGAGATAAGCTTCTTGCAAATTCACCAGGTCCTGTTTGATGGACTCATCAGAGGGGTCGAGTTTGGCCGCGGCCTCGTATTCTTGAATACCTAAAAACAGGCAGCAGAGAAGATAAGTCATCCAATGAAGAATACACCAGTGGGCGTACACGAGACAAAGAGCAGTACTGGGGGGACCAGCTGATGCATATTTTAAAACAGCGTTGTATCAGATTATATTAGATTATTACCAGACGCCCCTTCCCCGCCTGGGAGGCGGAGATAACTGCAGGAGCAGAAGCTTACTCATTCTAGAATTTACCTTCTTTGAGCATTTCGAGGTTGCAGAAAGCGACCGCGCGTCTAACGTGGGCGCGCACCCGCGCACGCAGGTTCTGCGGCACCGGAGGCTGGAGAAGATCTAGTGCAGCAGAACTGTCCTCAAGGGCCTTGAAGAAGTTTCGCGTTTTAATGTAACATGCAGCGCGGTTCGAATACAGTCTTGTGAAGGACAGGTTAAGGCAGAATAGCACAATCGTTCAAACGAGAAATATGAGCAGTTCGGATGAAGGTGCAATATGTGACTAGCTTATAATTATTTGTTGGAATTCTGAAAGATGATTTCGGTTAGAGGCGATTATGTAGGTTATGTTTTAATATCGATTATCAAGCAACAGAATTCCAGTCAGAGCACAAGGATAAGTGTCCTGTGGACTTTATATTTATGAAATGTCTACTTATTAGATTTAGGTAGCGTGACATACATTACTAGTAATTGAGAAGATGTTATCGCTGAGAAAAGCCTTTTATTCTCCTGACGTTTCGAATTTCGTTGCGGTTTCTCCGTCAGAGACATTCGTTTAGACTGGTAATTGGTGCGCAAGGAGTTGCAGTATTTATGGGATAAAGTCACTATGATACTGTCATTTATAACAATTAACGACTCGTCTATCGATATTTGTCCGCTTGTGCGCTAATGGCCCGATGACGGGCGTGCGGACCGCGACCTAGTGAACTTTCGTCGAACGTGGTAGAATTGGACGTGATGATTGTTCGGCCATCTGGTTCCCCTGCGTTGGCTTGTGCGTTCCCCAATTGACTACTTGCTTTGGCCAAACGGAGCCTCAGCACGGAATATTGATTGAGCCGGTCATTACACTTGTTTATAGATTGAGGGCCCGTTAAACAGGACTCAAGTATTTCGCGACTTAATCAATAGTCACCTCTTGCAAGAGTTTCGGCCTCATCAAATTTGAATGTGTGGCCGGGTTTCGAGAACCGACTTGGTCTCGAGGCCGACATTCTCGCTAGAGGTGACACTCGCGTGAGTCACCAATTACTTGTGTCATGGTTAACGGGCCCCAGTCTATAAACAAGTGCAATGACCTGCTAAATCCATATTCGGTCCTGAGGCTCAATTTGGCCAAAGCAAATCGCAACTTGAGAGACGCTTGGGTCAACGCGTCATCCAACACCAACGCTGGGGAAAGGGAGATGGCCGAGTCATCATCACGTCCAGTTCCACCACGTGCGATGAAAGTTCAGCAGGTCACGGCCCGCAAGCCGGTCATCAAGCAATTAGCGCACAAGCGGGCAATTATCCTCGATAGGGAAGTCGTTAATTGTCATAAGTGGTACTATCATAGTGACTATATCCTATAAATACTGCAACTCCCTGTATAAGAATCACCTGCTTATGCTAATGTCTCTGATGAAGAATCGCGACGGACTTCGAACTTCAGGCGAATAAAAGTCTTGTCCCAGCGATAGCATCCTCTTCTCAATTACTTCCTGGGACACAAATGTTGGCTTGTACTGGCAATTAGTAGTAATCTCTGGAGCCCTCCAGTGTAGTTACATTGAATGTACGCCCGTCGCCTACTTCTAATAAATATGACTAAACGGGTAGAAAGGAGGTTATTTGCATAGGCTTTCTGCGGTCTCTAACGATTCCATAATTATTTTTTAATACTTAACATACCGTTCTTTGCCAATAGAATTGAATATGCGAGTTCAAGGAAA